GCCCCGCCCCCCGGCCCGGGTGCCGGTTGAGGCCCCGCCCTTGGCCCGGCTCCACTGGAGACCCGGCCCCATGCTCGCCCGGCTCCAGGTGAGCCCCTTCCCACGACTTCAGGTGAGGCCCCGCCCACAGCCCCGCCCCCCGGCCCGGCTCCAGGGGAGACCCGGCCCCATCCTCGCCCCGGCTCCAGGTGAGCCCCTTCCCACGACTCCAGGGCATGCCCTGCCCACGGCCCTGCCCCTGCTCCAGGTGAGGCCCTGCCCACGGTCACGCCCCCGCTCCAGGGGGGGCCCCGCCCTCCCCCAGATTGTCCAGAGCGCTCTGGGCTTCCTTTTCCCACCTGTACAGTGAAGGGTGGCAGCCTAGGTGGTTTCCCACACTGTGGGGGTGGGTCTGTGGGCATCCCGCCTTTCCTCACTGACAGATACACCATCACTGGGAGGCCTGGGGGTCCCGAGAGGCGGTGGGTGTGAAACCCCAGGAAGGCGGGGCCGGGGTGAGCTCACGAGGGGGCTGACCCGGGCTGGCCTGCAGGACTATTACGTGGTCATCCTGTGTCCCACCGAGATGGACGTCCAGGTCCGAAGGGTCCTGCAGATCCCCCTATGGTCTCAGCGGGTCATCTACCTCCAGGGCTCAGCTCTCAAGGACCAGGACCTCATGCGAGCCAAGTGAGCCCAAGGGAGGGGAGGTTAGCTCTGGTGGCAGGGGTGCAGTCCTGAGCCGGTCAAGCAGTAGCCTTGAGGGTGGGCCGGTGTGCAGCAGGCAGAGGGGACCAGCCATCAGGGCAGCAGCAGCTTCAGCTCTGTGCCCACCACCCGCCGGGCGAGCCAGGCCCCACAGTGACCTTGCTGGGTCAGCCTCCCAGAAGTCCCCCCTCCCCTGCTCCTCTGGGGGATGTTCTTTGTCAGGTTCCAGGAGAGGCTCAAAGTAGATGGAGTGGGACTGTGGCTGCAGGTGGGAAGACATGGGCTGTGGGCGGGTTTTCTTTTAAAGATAGGCTGACAGAGTGACTTGAGGTAAGAAGACTTGTTAAATGGAATTTTCCAGAATGTGCTGGTGCACATTCTGAGACACCCCAGGAGCCCCTCTCCTTGTCACCATTTCATTCTAGGAGACTGATGCGTCCCTGTGGTGAAATGTGGGTTGTGGGGGGGCCGGCAGGAGGCAGGAGACCCCGCATCCGGGTCCCTTCACCCACCCGCCTCCTGAGCCCTGGGCCCCACTGTCTCGCCCGTAAAATCAGAGACAGGAATCAAGCCTCCTGCCCAGAGGCGGCTGTGACCAGGGGTCCAGCCTGTCTTGTGATCCACCCCCAGCCCCAGACCCCCTGGGGAGAGGCAGTGGCTGGGCAGGGACAAGGCAGGCTGCTGGGTGACCTGAGGGGACAGTTTCTCCAGCGCCCCTTCTGCAGCCAAGGGCTCTTGGGGGATGGGAGGGGAGTGGAACTGGTCATGGGTCCCCAGATCTCAGGCAGCCTGTCCCCAGGGGACAGGCCGACGGGCGGGACCCAGCGTCTCTGCCATCAAGTGCTCCCCTCCCTCGCACACCCCGGCCCCACCCAGGTTGATGGGGGCACAGAGGATGGCCCCACGGCTGGTCAGCGCCCCGATGCCAGGTTGTTAGCGCAGAGTTTGGCGGGATCTCGACGGGGCCCCCCCTTCCAGCCTCTGTCCCAAGCCCCTGACGGGGGAGACGGCTCCAGGCAGCACTCAGACCTGGTGCTTTGCAGGATGGACAACGGGGAGGCCTGCTTCATCCTCAGCAGCCGGAACGAGGTGGACCGCACGGCAGCGGTGAGTGCCCCCACCCCGCCCGGACCCAGGCAGAGCCCACTGCTGCTTCCCACCGTGTACCCACCTGCGGCCAGAGGGGGAGGGCTCCTGGGGGCAGAGAGCCGCCCCCCACCTGCTGCCGCCCCGCAGCCCTTACCTCCCCCCCAACCCCCAGGACCACCAGACCATCCTGCGCGCCTGGGCTGTGAAGGACTTTGCCCCCAACTGCCCCCTCTACGTCCAGATTCTCAAGCCTGAGAACAAGTTTCACGTCAAGTTCGCAGGTACGTGCATTTTGGGAGCCACGTGTGTGCACACAGGTGACTGTGCACCTTCGAGGGCTGGAGGAGTAGAGTGCCATGCACCAGGAGCACACAGGGGCGAGGCGGGGGACAGCTGAGCTCTGTCCTCACCAAGGGGGGTGGAGGCAGAGCCCACGCAGGACCAGCTGTTGGAAGCTGGTCCTGCACCTGGGGGCCCTGGGGTCAGTGAGGGCAGGAGCCAAGGGCAGGGGAGGGGCACATGCATCTGGTGAGCACCCTGTGGGGGTGTCTGAGCTCTCTCAGGGTGGGGCGGGGGGAGTGGGGCAGGTGAGCAGGCCCTGCCCAGCCCTGGAGCTGTCAGTCAAGCTGGGAGATGAGCACAGAAGTACCCGGAGAACAAAGAGGCTCCCGGGGGTGGGGTGCTGGCCAGGGCTGACAGAGAGTTTGCGGAGCAGACAGGGGGGCTCTAGGGAGGGTGCCATGCAAGGGGGCCTCTGCTGTGGGGGCGGCAGGGAGGTCCGGCGGCAACCCGGGACCCTTGTGCCCATAGACCACGTGGTGTGTGAGGAGGAGTGCAAGTATGCCCTGCTGGCCCTGAACTGCATCTGCCCGGCCACGTCCACGCTCATCACCCTGCTGGTGCACACGTCCCGCGGCCAGTGAGTGCCACCCCCACGGGACCGCCCCACCCCCCGCCCCCACCCCCCGATACCGGGGAGACCAGGCAGGGGGTGACGAGGAGACCTGTGATGGGAGGGGGCATGTGCCGTGGGCAGAGGTCCCGCCAGGGAGGGGGTGAGCCCAGGGGAAATGCCAGGGATGGCGGAAGGGAGATCACGGGACATGGACGCAGCTGAGGATGCCGGGCTTGTTTTGGAAGCAGTAGGTACTGGGGAGCTCTGAACAGCCAAGTGAGGAGTCGGAGCTGGAGGGTGGCCAGGGGGCTGCTGGGAGTTGCAGGCAGGGCCCACTGTAGAGCAAGGGCCGGGCGGGGGACCAGGGGAGCCCTGGGTCTTGAGCTCGGTGACTGCACTGCTGGGGCTTGGTTTGGGGGAGAAGGTGCGTTTGGTTCACAGCACCTGGGCCTGGGGACACAGGCAGAGCCCACCAGAGGCAAGGGGTGGCCCTGGGACAGAGGAGGGACTAGGCGGGGGGCTGGGCCCCCCGACACAGGTGCTCGGCTCCTTGTGGGGCCTGGGTGGCCCTACGGCACGGACCAGGCAGGGGGGCAGGGCACTGGCCTGGGGCTCCTGGGAGGACGCACAGGCCTCCGAGGCCAGTCTTGACCCCAAACATTTTGGCACCCCTAAAACTCAGACCATTGTGTTTACAGCTTTTTAAAACTGGCCAAGTGACACTTCACCCTACCTCCAAGGCTTGGCCAGATGGGGAGGGGTCAGGGGCCAAGCTGGCCTCCACCCACTGCTGTCAGAAGCCAAACTGGGGGGCATTGCCAGCCCCGGGCGGGCGGGGGGCAGCCAGCCAAGGTGACATCCTGCCCGCCCAGGGAAGGCCAGGAGTCGCCGGAGCAGTGGCAGCGCATGTACGGACGCTGCTCGGGCAACGAGGTTTACCACGTGCGCATGGGCGACAGCAAGTTCTTCCGGGAGTACGAGGGCAAGAGCTTCACCTACGCCGCCTTCCACGCGCACAAGAAGTACGCGCCTGGCGGGTGGGCAGGCGGGCGGGGCTCGTCCACCTCCCCCAGGTTGGGTCAGGGCGGGTGGAAGGCTGGGGACAGCGGCGTGGACAAGGAGGGGCAGCCTCCAGGTTCGACGTCAGAGTCCACGTTTGGACCCTGGTCTGTCCACGCAGCCGTGAGACCCGCCACGTGGCCCCTCCTGTCTGAGGCTCACGTGAGGCTGACCTCGGGTCTTCGAGTCAAGTGCAAAGAGGTCCCGACACCCATGAGGGGAGGGCCCGGCCGAAGGCCTGACCCCAAATGGGGTCCCTGAACCGTCAGCCTCCAGGGATCCTGGGAGGGGGCCTTTGGGGCCCGTGGGTTGTTCAGAGGCAGAGCGGAACGCGAGGGTCCTGGCAGTGTGGGGGGGCCCCGTCGAGCCGCCCAGCCCTGTCTGCCCAGGTACGGCGTGTGCCTCATCGGGCTGAAGCGGGAGGAGAACAAGAGCATCCTGCTGAACCCGGGGCCCCGGCACAGCCTGGCCGCTTCTGACACCTGCTTCTACATCAACATCACCAAGGAGGAGAACTCGGCCTTCATCTTCACGCAGGAGGAGAAGCAGAAGAGGAAGGGCTTCTCGGGGCAGGGCCTGTACGAGGGGTCCTCCCGCCTGCCCGTGCACAGCATCATCGCCTCCATGGGTGAGGCCCGGAGGAGGCGGGCGGGACGTGCTCCTGGCCCCGGGGGCGGGCACCCTACCAGCGCACGGCCCAGGTCGGGAGGGGCCGGAGACCAGCTCTTCTGGGCCTGCAGGGTGACCTTGGGCAAGTCACGTCTCTCTGGGCCTCAGGCCAGTGGGGTATCCCGGCCTTCCTGCGGGGACTTTTGTCAGCATTGGTGTCCAAGTACCTGCCTGGGGTGAGGCCGCCCTGGGTCAGGGGTCATTCTGTCTACCTCCACTCCAGAACCAGCCACCCCAGGAGAGCCTAGGAGGGGCTGCCAGCCAAGTCAGGTGCTTTGTTCCAGGGACAGTGGCCATGGACCTCCAGAACACGGAGTGCCGGCCGGCACAGAGCGGCGGGGGTGGTGGGGGTGGCAAGCTGGCGCTGCCCACAGAGAACGGCTCAGGCAGCCGGCGGCCCAGCATCGCGCCCGTCCTGGAGCTAGCCGACAGCTCGGCCCTGCTGCCCTGCGACCTGCTGAGTGACCAGTCAGAGGACGAGATGACGCCGTCGGACGATGAGGGGCTGTCCGTGGTGGAGTGAGTGCTGCCTGCAGGGGCAGAGCTTTTGACGGAAGGGGAGAGGAGATGGCTGCTGGCCGGGGGCTGGTGGCTGTGGCCGCACTTGGGAAGGAAGCGTCCCTGTGAGTGCAAGGCGCCCAGGAAGAGGTGGGCCCGGCTGGCGCGGGCACTGTGCCCCAGTGGGTGGTGGTCCTGGGTCTCCCCCCATGCTCTGGATCACAGCTTCCAAACAGCTTTGTGGGAGACATTGTTTGGCAAATGGAATCTTTTGGGGACCCCGACACGCAGACACAAAAGCCGGGCTGTGCCCTCAGCCTCACGCCTTGGTACCACGGCCTGTTCAGTGGGGGCGGCTGTCCTTTGATCATGGTCTGCAGAGGTCACAGATAAGGAAGTCCAGGGCGGGATGCTGGGCAAGCGTGGAGGCCACTGGCCCATCCCGAGGTGTCACCCTGCCCCAGGTTGGGGGGCAGGTCTTCCTGCTGTGATTACGAAATGCGAGAGACCCCAGTCTGTTCTCAGCAACTCTTGGTCACTTGACCTCGGCCAGGACAGACAGGCAGCACCTGACAACAGGGCCGTGGCCAGCTGCCGGCCTGCGCAACCCGTTCCTCCCAGCTGGGCTGTCACCGTGGCCACTCTCTGTTCCTGGCCTTTGCCTCTGGGGTGGAGTAAACACGCTTTAAAGACAGACCAGCTGCTGGGGACCAGCTCCGAGGTTGAGGGGGACAGGCCAGGGCTCCTGGACACCATGGGGCGGGTAGCGGGGCTGGCCTCTGAGGCCGTGTCCCTGCCGCCAAGTGGAGACAGAGCAGGCCAGCCCCTCCCCAGGCTGCTCCAGCCAGGGCCACGGCGGGTGGCCGCCCCCCACGTGGCGTGCACTGGGTGCTGCTGGGGACGGTGGGGGGCACAGCCTGCTGGGGAGACCAGCCTGGCCCGGGGGAGGGAGTAGAGAAGTGGCCGAGGGCCAGTGTCTGCCCAGTGGCTGGGGTGCTGGGGTTGTCAGGGAGGGGGTGCCTGGGGGAGCCCCTCAGTGTTGTACTTCCAGGCCTTGTGTAAGCTCGTGTGTGTGTGTGTGTGTGTATCTAGGTGTGCATAGCATATGTTGTATGTGTCCGTGTGCACAGTCGTGTGTGTTGTGTGTGCATGTGGGTGTTACATGGAATCTCACCCCAAACCCCCAGGGGAAAAACAGCAGTCCAGGCACAGCCCTCCTTCCTGCACCTCCTTCCTGGGGTGGCTGGGGGCTGATCACGGGCATCCTGGGGCTTCCTGGGTGGGAGGGGGGCAGCAGCAGGGAGCTCCTCTGCACAGACGGCCATCCGGCAGGGCTGGGTCCGCGGGATTTGGCGCCCCCGTGTGGCTGCCTGGGGCGGGCCCTGCAGCGCACACTTGGTCTCGGATGCGAGGGTGGGGATGGCCATGGTGCTGAGGGCTCCTGTCTGCCCCCCAGGTACGTGAAGGGCTATCCCCCCAACTCGCCCTACATTGGCAGCTCGCCCACCCTGTGCCACCTCCTGCCCGTGAAAGCCCCGTTCTGCTGCCTGCGGCTGGACAAGGTGGGTCCTGCTGGCCGCCCTCCGCATGACTACATTCCGACACAACTGCAAACTTATGGGACGCTGAGAACACGGGGGGGAAACCCCGGACCCTTTACCCAGAGGCACGGACGGTCACGTTCCCTCCCGTGTTAGAGGCGTGTCTTCTGAAACATCTAGAGCAGGCGGGACCCCGCCCCTCCTGCACCAGCGTCTCCTGAGAGCGAGGATGGCGCCCTCGTGACCACAGTCCACGCACCAACATCGGGACACGGCGTCTGATCCACAGGCCACACTGAAAATGCGCCGACGGTGCCTGGTTGTCCCTCATGGCCACGCTCTCCGGTCGAGAGCCGGTCCTGATTGTGCTCTACATTTAGCTGTCGTGTCTCTGTCTCCCTCAATCTGGAACATTCCTCAGCTCTCCCTCGGGCCTCTGGGCCTTGGGTGTGCTGATGTTTTCTCGTAAGAAGACTCGGCTTGTGCTTTTGGGGCGGGAAGGCCCACAGGGGATGCGTGTCCTTGGAGCCGTCCCCGTGGGTGCAGCATTGATCACGTGGGACAGTGGCGCCCCCAGGTTTCTCCACTGTGGAAACTGCTGTTTCTGCCTTTGCGGTTAGTGAGTCAACAGGGGAGACGTGGAGACTCGGGACATGAGCGCTCCGCACTGAATTCCCACGAGCTGGTCCCAGCGTCACGAGGTGGCTTTCCAATTCCAAACTCCCTTCACAGTTGTCAGTGATCTGCTGTAGGAATCGCTTCCCCTCCTCCCGCAGGGATGGTTTTCTTCATTCACATACATCAGTGTGAACTCCTGGATCCCTGATATTCAGAGGGTTAGGACCCGTTGCCTGTTCTTCAGCACCATCGTCCCTAACGGATCATTACTGATTTTGATGCTCAGACTTCCCCGGTTTTGCTGGTGGGCCCTTCAGGCTGGCTTCCAGGGCCTCCTGTGAACACTTTGTGCTTTCAAACTCACTGTGTTCCCGCCCATCTCGGGCTTGCCCTGCTCCGCTCCTGGGACCAACCACTTCTCCAAGGAACCCTGGTTCCTTTTCGTGGAAAATGATGTTTAGAAACCGAGATCTGGGCGCCAGGCATGCTCCTAGAGTGTCAGTGCGCCTGGGCCTCTCGGTGGACGGAGCTGCAAAATGTGTTTACACACACACGACACGTCTCTTCGTTTCCGCATCTGCTAAAACCACGTGTTCCCACAGACGCCTCCCCTCCCTCCCTGACGTGACTGTCCCCGCCGCGGCCCCCACTTGCCGGTCTGCTCCGTGTGGAGGGCTGACCTGGAGCAGCCGCCGGCAGGCGAGGACGGGGGTCTGGTGGTGCGTGTAGCTCCCCTGGGGTTTGTGCAGGCCAGGAAAGAACCAGGCCGAGTGCCCAGGACCAGCTTCCCGAGGCGTCCCCGCGGCCGGCCGTGGCAGCGTCCGTTCCTCTCCGCAGGGCTGCAAGCACAACAGCTACGAGGACGCCAAGGCCTACGGCTTCAAGAACAAGCTGATCATCGTCTCGGCGGAGACGGCGGGCAACGGGCTGTACAACTTCATCGTGCCGCTGCGGGCCTACTACCGCTCGCGCAGGGAGCTCAACCCCATCGTGCTGCTGCTGGACAACAAGTGAGCCCCGGCGCCGGCGTCCGAGCCCAGGCAGGGCCGGCCCCACGGCCCGGTCAGCACTGCCCGGGTCTGACGAGGGTGCAGGCCTGGCCTGGGGCCCCGAGTCTGCAGACCCCGCCAGGGTGGAGGGAGGCCACAGAGGGCTCAGCACACCATGTCCACCCCGGGCCCCTGCCCCGCCTGGGCCCGCCTCTGACCCTTGGGGTGGGCGTGGGGGGCAGGAACCACCCTGGTCCCCGGGCCTGGTCCTTTCCCACTAGAAAGCGCACTCCTCACTCCCCACTTGCAGACGCCCCCAGCTCCTCCCCAGCTCTGGCCCCCACACCCTCTGGCCCTTGGTAGTGACTGTGAGCTCCCGACAGGGCCTGCGCCCCCGCACCTTTACCCCTAGAGGCCTGGCAGCCCAGAGCCCAGGGTCCAGATTGGCTGTCTGACCTGGGCAAGTCCCACCCCTGGGGCCTCAGTTTCCCCTTGGGTAAAATAAAGAGCTGCCCATTGTCCTCTAAAGGCCCCAGGTCCATGCTGTGGTCCTGGGGGACATTTGCTCACCCAGGGCAGGCCCAGGTGGGGTGTGAGGGCGGGCGGGAGAGCGGGACGGGCGCCACAGGGCCTGCTGTCCCCACAGGCCCGACCACCACTTCCTGGAGGCCATCTGCTGTTTCCCCATGGTCTACTACATGGAGGGCTCCGTGGACAAGTAAGGCCAGGCCGCCCCTGCGGAGCCCGGCGGGTGGGGCGTCTACCCGTCTCTTAGCAGAAGGACCCCCTCCCCTCCTCCTCCAAGGTCTCCTCTGTCTGGGGTGTGGGGAGGCCAGGTGGTCGCAGACCCCCCACAGAGGGGGAGGGAGGGCAAGGTGACCCATAGGAAGGGCCCGGGGCCCCCGGCCCAGCCCCAGGGAGCCCAGCACGTGGCTCTCCCGCAGCCTGGACAGCCTGCTGCAAAGCGGCATCATCTATGCTGACAACCTGGTGGTGGTGGACAAGGAGAGCACCATGAGCGCCGAGGAGGACTACATGGCCGACGCCAAGACCATCGTCAACGTGCAGACCATGTTCCGGTGAGGGCTGCGGGGGGCCACGGGGCGGCAGGGGGCTCTTGGGGACTCAAACCCCATCCTGAGCCAGACCCTCAGCCATGAGGAGGCCCACTGTGACACCCCTCCCCACACATGAGCATGGGACCGGCCCTGAGCCCCCTCCCCACATCTGTGACCACAGGACCCCGCCCTGAGCCCCCTCCCCACATCAATGACCACAGGACTCCGCCCTGAGCCCCCTCCCCACATCCATGACCACGGGACCCCCTTGTGACCTCTCCCCACATCCGTGACCATGGGACCCCTTGTGACCCCTCCCCACGTCCGTGACCACGGGACCCCGCCCTGAGCCCCCTCCCCACGTCCATGACCACGGGACCCTGCCCTGAGCCCCCTCCCCATGTCTGTGACCACGGGACCCTGCCCTGAGCCCCCTCCCCACATCCGTGACCACGGGACCCCTTGTGACCCCTCCCCGCGTCCGTGACCACGGGACCCCGCCCTGAGCGCCCCCTCCCCCCAGGCTCTTCCCCAGCCTCAGCATCACCACGGAGCTCACCCACCCGTCCAACATGCGCTTCATGCAGTTCCGCGCCAAGGACAGCTACTCTCTGGCTCTTTCCAAACTGGAAAAGGTGAGCGGCCCCCACCTGACCTGCTGGGCTGTCGAGTTCAGAGCCAGCATCAGAGCTTGGAGGGAGCGGGCAAAAGGGGCTGAGGGGGCTCGCGGAGAGCAGGGGCCATTGGAGGCCTGGCGCCTGCCCTCCTCTGGCCAGGGGGCTTCGGAGTCAGGGGGCTCAGCTCCCGTGTGCGGCTCTTGATCCTGTTGCCCGGAGCTTTGGGGGCGCTGGCCAGGAGCAGACACCATCCTCCTAAGGCAGGGTCCAGGCCTGGCCGTGTCTGGGGCCGAAGCTGCCTGTCGGGTCAGTAGCTAACATAGGTGACACCGGCCACTCGTTTCCTCCACCCCAGACACCCTGAAACGTGTCCATTCCGTCAACTGCCCAGCAGGTGCGTGTGCTCACCCCCAGTACAGACGAGGGACTGGGGATCAGAGAGGGCAGGAGCTTGCCTTAGGTCACACAGCAGAGCCCTGGCAGAGCTGGAATCAGCTTTTCTGGGCTCCATGAAGGGCATCGGCTGGGGTTGGGTATAGAGCCCAGGGGCTTGGGGACCAGCCACGAGGGACACATGCCCCAGCCAGGGGCACAGGCAGCGCAGCCCTGGTGGTGTCAGCTGGTGCGTTCACTGACTCAGGCCCCTGCTGAGGGGGCAGGCCCGCGTGTTAGGGTGAAGGCAGCACTCAGGCCGCGCTGGGGCGAGACCAGGGAGCAGGTGAGTCACGGGAGAGGCCCCGGCCACCGGCTGGAGCAGCAACCATTGCCTGCGAGCCCCGTGCTCCCCAGCCTGGGCTGAAGTCCTGATCAGGGAGCGGCTGGCCCCGAGCCACGGAGAGGAGACCCCCGGGCCACCGCCCGCCCAAGCCGGGCCTGCCATCAACACCGGACAGAAGGGACAGACCTGGAGCTTCATCCGCCCTGAACCCAGATGGACGGTGGACGTGCATCCCCTAGCCTTGGACCAGCTGGCCCATGGGGACCCTGAAGCACCACTCCTGCCAGAGTGGCAGGTGGAAGCCAGACAGGCGGCCTCTGGGCCCTCGGGGGAGACACGAGCCCCTGCCTCGGCCGGCAGCCCGAGACCTCAGTTCACCGTCCTGCCCAGGAGAGGGCTGTGCCCGCACCGCCCCTCCCACCAGGCCCTCCCTGGAGCCTGCCCGGCCCAGTGCTTGGGGCCGCTCCTGGTCCCGAGCCCACAGGACAGCCCACCGGGCCGGCTCAGAGCCCCCTCCCAGCAGCCTCTGGGCTGAGCCTCCATCACTCGAAGCTGGACTGTGGAAAGACTGGCAGGTGGAAGCAGCCTTGGCAGCCCCAGCGTGCTGGGATTCTGTGTCCAGATGCTTGGGCTGCTCCCCCGGATCTGAGGGGGTCTCTCAGAATCAGGAAAATCCAGTCTGACCTGAGCATGGATGGGGTGACCGGCATGGAATCAGGCTCAAGGCTACCCCGTCCTAGATGCCCTCCTGGCACTTCCCTCCCTCACCACCTTCCCTCAGGCAAACCCAGCTCCTCGCAGGCCTCCCACCTGCCCCGTTCCAGGAGGGAGGCTTGAAGTAGGTCAAGTCACAAACACGCAGCACGCGGGCTCCCACTCCTTCCGTGGCAGACATCACAAATCCATCTCCCACCCCTTTCCTCTGTGGCAGGCATCACCAATCAATCACTCCTTCCCCCACAGCATCGCCTCCAGTGGCAGGTGCGGCCCAGTCCCCACCTCAGGATGATGAACCCTGTTGTGGTTCCGTGACCCAGGCCTGGAGAGAAGTCAGGACGTCAGCTTGAGTAACCGTGGGAGGCTGTCTTGGGAAGCAGCCCCGGGCTCCCCCTGGCTGACATGGGGCTGAGGTCCCTGTGGGAAGCGAGATGGTCAGAGCCACCGTCGTGCCCACTGCCGGCAGGTACCAGGCCTATGGGAGACCCCCCCCAGAGTCCACATCTTCTCACACCCTAACTGGACTTGGCCTGGGGTCCCCTGAGGGTCTCTGCCACCCCAGGCACGTCCCGGCTCCCGATGCTTTGAACAGATGGTCCAACAAATGGGGACCGGCCTCCCACGGGGGCAGCTGGGAACATTTCTTTAACGAAATTAATGGCAATTTATTTTTATAAAAGTGTGCATGTTTATTATAAATACAGATTTTACTTCAAGGAACACTGAGATGCATAAAGAAAAAAGTAAATAAGGTTACCAGGTGCAGCCGGCACCTCCCACGCCCAGGCATGGCAGCAGTGCGGAGAGAGGATTCCATGGAAGCGTGGCGAGGGAGGATGGGATGCTGTAGGTATGACCCCACATGAGACGGGTCCTGTGTACCTGAATTAGATTTAACACGAGAAGGAGAAATTGCAGTAACACTGGAAGTGTCCCTGTCACCCAGCTAAGCGAGCCTCGCCAGGAGACAGCGGTCGCAGAAGAACACAGGGCGTGTAAGGAAGTGATGGAGGGCGCTGGGGGGCGTTGTTCCAGTGGCTCCCTCGAGGCTGCTCTCCCGAAGATCTCCAAGAACTGGACATGAGACACGAGGGGCCGCCCCCTACCTCTATCCCCTCCTGGTCCCCAGGACTCAGGCTCCTCTGTGGCATCATTGTTCTGACATTCTCAGCGTGTGTGACATTGACCTCCAGCCAGGAACCCTAGTTCTGACCGGCTTTGCCTGGGCCTGGGCTGCCCGTCCAGTCCTGCCTCTGGTTCCCGCTCTGTCCCCGACGCTTCCTGGCCCCGTGGTTCTCGGGAAGGGCTCGTCCCCACGTGTCCCTGCGTCTCGATGTCACTTATAACCTTGAAGCTCCAGTTAAAGCCCCGGATCCCTCCGGGGCCGGCTACAGAATTTTCAGGGTCTCGTGCAGAGTGAAAAATGTGGGCCCTATGTTCAAAAAGCAGGGAAATTTTCTGCTAGAGGCACTAAAATTCCAAGGTTTTCCTCCCTTGGGTGGTCTCTCTCTCGACCTGTCACGGTTCTGTTCTTCTCGATTCGTTAGTGTTGTTCTGAGTAAAGGAGAATTGACATTTCTCATCATCTCAGGAGCTTCACTGTTCACCCTGGTGACGAGCCACACGAGCTCTGAATGCGGGTGTGAGGGTACTGAGCTTGGAGCCACTGGCCACACAGTGGGCGCTCCGTGGCTCACACACGCATCGTTCTTACTGGAACATGAAACGCTGCCCACCACTAACCCTGCTGTTAACACCACGTTCCACCGCCCTCGCCCTCTGGCTCTCTGCTTGAAAGGACGGGGCTGTGCCGAGGGGGCCTGTCTCCCCTTCCCTTCCGTGTCATCTGCAGCCAAGGGAGTTGCCACTGCAGGAAGTAGCACGTGACAGAGGCCATGGTGTGTTTCTCACCTTCCTTCTGGTTCCGGCCAGAGGTGCGGCCTCGGGGGGCGGCCAGAGCTCCTGAGTCCTGGATGGACCGTGTGCGGCCCCAAGACGTCCCGTCCTCACCGCCAGTACCATGCAGAATAGGCCCAGGCAGAAGGGACTTGGCAGATGCGGGGGGGTCAGAGTCGGAGACGGGAAGGTGCTACACTGCTGGCTCTGAAGACCGAGGAAGGGGCCACAGGCCAGTGAGTATGGTCAGCTTCCAGAAACTGGACAGCAAAGTGGAGGATTCTCCCCTAGAGCCTCCAGAGGGAGGGTGGCCCTGCGACACCTGGATTCCTTCTTTCCGTTTCGGACTTCCGCCTTCCAGAACTGGGAGAGAATAAATCTGTCTTGTTTTAAACTGCTCAGTTTGTAATTTGTTCCAGCAGCCCCAGGAAGGTCACACGGCGGGCCTAGCGAATGACTCCCACGCTCACAGCACGTCGCGGACGCCATGAACGAATGGGGAGGCAGGAACGCACAGGCTCCCGTGTCCCATCAGACTTCACTTGCAAAACAAGTTCAAGGATAAAATGACCGAGATTATTAAGAGTTTCAGGGTGGTAACAGCGGAGCATTGAACCAAGCGTGGGGCCCTGTGTGACTGCCCTGGTCACACGCCCGTGGGCCGGCCCTGGGCCCCACTTTCTTCTCGTCGGAGCCCCGGATTCTTACTCCCAAGCTCTGGCCCCGAGTGTGTGTGGGAGGACGTGTGGGGGGTGCTCAGGGCAGTGGTCAGCTGTCTGCTGGTGCTTGCACTCAACACAAGGGCATGTGTGTACACGCGTGTGCACACGCTTGTGCCCTGGGCACCAGCCACCCCGAGGCGTCCTTTCCTGCAGAGGGAGCGGGAAAATGGCTCCAACCTGGCCTTCATGTTCCGCCTGCCGTTTGCCGCCGGCCGCGTCTTCAGCATCAGCATGCTGGACACGTTGCTCTATCAGGTCAGCGGCAGGGGAGGCAGGGAGGGCCCGCGATACCCGGCCGGGAGCCCCAGCCTGTCTCTCCATCTCTGGCCGGGGTCCCGTCCCAGTTCCCAGCAATGTGCCTCCCTCTGCACGTCCCTCCCTGGGTCCCTGTAAGGCAGCCACGTCTGGGTGGCTCTGGACCCCATCCCTGCCTGGAGCAGCAAAAATCCACCTGGAAATGTCCCCAGTCCTTTTCCTCCAAAAGGGTGCTGCCCTGGGCTTGCCCCCCAGCAGCCTTTGGCTTTCTGACCCCTTTTGACCTAATGCACTTGGCCGAGTGAATTACTGAGGCCAGGAAAGGCTTCCCAGCTCTGTCTGCTGGTCGAGTTGTGCTCGGGGACTGGGCAAGCAGGTGGCTTTGTGGGAGAGTGCGGGAGGCTGTGGGTGCCTGGCAGCATGTCCGGGAGGACAAGGCATGCCCCTGGGGTACCGGTGCGGATCTGCACCTGCGGGGCCCCAGCCTCACTGCGCCTCCCTCCCTGGCCAGTCCTTCGTGAAGGACTACATTATCTCCATCACCAGGCTGCTGCTGGGCCTTGACACCACGCCGGGCTCTGGCTACCTCTGTGCCGTAAGTGACCGGGGCCGGGCCGGGCGGGGGCATGCGGGCCATTCTTGGGGAGGCCGCTGGTCACCCACCTCTGGGTCAGCACAGCAGCCAAGGGGCGCCAGGCACCGCCGCCCACCAAGGCCACCCCCAGCGCAGGGCTCCCGACATTCCAGATGAAAATCTCCGAGGACGACCTGTGGATCCGCACCTACGGCCGCCTCTTCCAGAAGCTCTGCTCCTCCAGCGCCGAGATCCCCATCGGCATCTACAGGACTGAGTGTCACGTCTTCTCCACCTCAGAGGTTCGCGGGGGTCAGGGGGCTCCTGGGGAGCCGGGTAGGGGGGTGGCTCACACTAAGGCAGCCCCCCCATTTCTCTGTGACCCGTGCCACCCCCGTTTTCTTTGGGGGATCTGGGCCTTTGCTGTCAGGCCATTTCAGGGTTGGGTCCATGTGCCGCCGTACGTGGGGCATGTGGTCAGGTGGCTGTGACCCTCAAGTCGGGGAGGGGAGGCTTGAGGGCAACGTGGGGCTCCTGTGTTCACAAGGGACTCAGGCTGCGTTGGGGGGCAGGGGCAGGAGCCCCCACAGGCACCCAGGCTCTCCCTGGTTTCCTTTGCAGCCCCATGACCTCAGAGCCCAGGTGAGTGGCCCCTTCAAACCCACACGAGTTCCCTTAACGTGGAAGCCTCTTGGTGTGTGAAGAGTCTTGCCTGCGCCGGCACCCACAGGGCCCTGGGCAGCAGCAGGTCAGGGAGCACATCCCCAGGATGTGTCAGCCGTGGTGCAGCTCAGAGAGGGCTCATGGCATCACCCTCCTGTACAGACAGGGAAACTGAGGCCCGAGGTGGGAAGCCCAGGCTCCTCCAGCCCATATACCATCTGCATGTCCTGCCGTGTCCCCCATCATGGCAGGTGTCCCCCTGCTGGTCTGGCCCAACCTCCACGCCCCCAGCCTCTCAGTGGTGCTGCCTGGGTGGGGGTCCCCACATCACCTCCAGAGCCTCATTGGGCCTCAGAGCCATGCACAGGCCCTGGGGCTTCCCAGTCCACGATGCTCCCCGCCCCCCCACTCTCTCCCACCCACCCCCAAGATGGGGAAACTGAGGCACAGAGAGGGGTGATCCTCCCATGGCAAAGTCAGGACATGCAGGAGCCTGGAGGGACCCACAGAAACGAGGGCCCAGAGAGGTCCAGGTGGAGGGAGCTGCCCTCACCCAGCTGGCAAAGCAGAGACAGACCTGCATCCAGGGCCCAGCTGGGCTGTGTGCGCTCAGGAGGGCTCCGCCTGGCCACGCCTCCCAGGTGGAGAAATGGCACTGGTGTCCCTGAGCGGTGGGGTCCAGCAGCAGGGGGCTGGACTGTTCTCCTCCGGTTACCCCAGCCCCGCCCCGCCCAGCCCGGCCGCGCCCCCGCCCCGCGCCGGCCCTCACCCTCCCGCCTCGGCCAGTCCCAGATCCAGGCCCAGATCTCGGTGAGCGTGGAGGACTGCGAGGACACGCGGGAAGCCAAGGGGCCGTGGGGCGCGCGGGCGGGCCCCGGCGGAGGCAGCGCGCACGGCCGGCACGCGGCGGGCGGCGACCCGGCCGAGCACCCGCTGCTGCGGCGCAAGAGCCTGCCGTGGGCGCGGAGGCTGAGCCGCAAGAGCCCCAAGCCGGCGGGGAAGACGGCGGCCGCCGAGTGGATCAGCCAGCAGCAGCTCAGCCTGCACCGGCGCTCCGAGCGCCAGGAGCTCTCCGAGCTGGTCAAGAACCGCATGAAGCACCTGGGGCTGCCCACCACCGGCTACGGTAAGGCCCGCAGGACGGCGCGCCGGCCAGCTGACCGCGCCCAGGGGCCCGCCGGCCCGGCTCCCATCCGTCCACCTGTCCGTCTGCCTTCTGGCCTCCGCCCACCCGCCTCTGCTGCGAGGAGGGTCAGAGCCCCTCTGGGCTGGGGAGGACGCCAGATCCCCCAGGACTGGTCCCGAACCCCATAAGGAAGGCTCACCCCCACTACCCTGCGGCCTCAGTGTCCCCATCTGTGAAATAAGGGCCAGAGCTGGCAGCGCTCCCCGGGAGGGGCCTGTGGGTGGGGAGGGCCGGTGGGGCTCCGTGAAAGCCCAGGGCTCAGGCTTGGTTGGAGACAGATTGGCCACCTCCAGCCAGTCCCGCTGGGATCAGGGACATGCAGGGAGACCCCAGAGCCCCCGGGCAGCCAGAGTGCGGGGAGCATGTCTGGGGACAGCTGGGCAAATGGCCCGGCACCAGGATCCTCCTCCATTGGCCTGGTGGGACCCCACTGCTGTTCCTGGGGCACAGCTGCCCCCTCTCTGCTGCTTCACAGTGACACCCCCCCACACACACCGCCAGGCATTCATCTTGTCAGCAGATTCATGCAGCTTCCTTTTCTCTGTAGCTTGTTTTGGGAAGAAGTTTGTTACCTTGACCAAGAACAGGCCTGGGGTGCCCTGGCTGGCTCAGAAGAGAGAACCTCATCCCCTCCCTCACTCTAGAGATGCTGCCTCTGTTGATGGGGCCGAAGGGGACCCAAGTTCCCCGCTGCTGTCTGGCCGCATCCACATCTTGGGCTAGGTCAAGGCTCTGGCCTGCGTTGGGTCCATCTTGGGGCCTCTGCTCATCGCTGAGGCCTGGCTCTGTCCCGCAGCGGGCACCCGCTCTCCTCACCTGCTTCCTGCCATCTGCCGCCTGGGTCGGGCCCTGGAGCCCCCTCCAAGTGGGATCAGGTGGCTCGGGGCTCTCCCAGGAGCTGCCCAGGGGTCACTCGGGCCACGCCGTCTGCTGGCCATGCACACCTGGGCCTGAGGGGAGCTCAGAGGCCAGGGTTTGGGGGACAGGCGACCCACGAGAGCCGTCCCAGCCCCACCCCCACCACACCAGCGTCCCTGCCCAGGTGGCTGGTGTCACCCTCTCCAGTGGGTACTGATGCCGAGGCTCCAAGTGGGGTGTCCAGTGCTCACGGCCCCACGGCGAGTATGGCAGACGGGGCCTCCAGCCCACCGACCCCCAGAGCTGGCACCTGCCCCTCGGCCTCCGCGACCCCCGCCGCCCCCGCCCGAGCTCTGCAGAGGAGGAGCCAACTCCCGTTCAGTGACAGACTCACTTCCCAGGCGGCGGCACTGGCCACTGCGTCCCCACGTGGACGGCCTCCCCGTGCGCTGGCTGCCCCACCCCGCTGTGCCGGCCTGCGCTGCTTGCTGACCTCTCTCTCTCTCTCTGTTTCTGTCTGTCCCTCTTCCTGTGTGCTCCGTAGAGGATGTAGCAAATTTAACAGCCAGTGATGTCATGAATCGGGTAAACCTGGGATATTTGCAAGGTAATTCTGCTCCCGCGGACGTGGGCTGCCGCGTAAGGGGGCATGCCAACGCTTCGCCAACGGGCAGCCTGGTGCCCGCCCCGCCCCGGCCAGGCAGGCAGACAGGACAGGAGACGAGGGTCCCTGCCTCACGTGCTCCCAGCCTGCCCCGTTGCAGGGACTTGACGCCGCCCTCCTCCATCTGTTGGTAACGGAACTGACCCCGAGGAGGCGCGTGGTTTGCGCTGGAGCCTCCGGTCACCCCACCTCCCCTTAGACTGTTTGTCGTTGGAGATAAGCCCTGCTGTCCACGTCCGCCCTGACTGCGCAGGCGGGCCATCCAGCCTGCAGCCGGCCCCTGAGATGCCCGAGGACCCTGAGCCCCCCAGGTCTTGGGACACATCCGGATGGATGGTCCCAGCCAGGATCCCACACCCCCCGTGGTGGAGCGTGGCGAGGCCTGGATTGGGGTCTGCTCCGCCCTGAGCTTTCGTGGGCTGAGCCGGGTGGACAGTTGACCAGTCCAGCTGGGGCTTCAAGAGGGGGTCTCTGTCTTCAGTGACGCTAAGCCCGTCTACACCCTATTTCTCGTCTGGGGGATTGGATGCTGACTGGGCACCCCATTTCTTCCAGGAGTATGCCCCATACTCCCCAGACATGCCCTGAGACCCTGATAGAGGTCAAAGCAGAGGGCTCCCTGCAGCCCCAGGGGAGCTCAGAGCCTGCGCGTCCAGGCCCCGTGGAGCAGCCCCCCGTTCAGGGGTGACCCCAGAGCTGACGGGGCCTCCTGTGCCCAGGCAGGCATTAGCTCAGGTGGGACTGTCTGCGGCTGCTGGGAGCCGCGTGGGGACAGGCCCAGGCCCGGGAATGGAAACCTCTGTGGTTCACAGCCCGGGATCTGTCAGGAGCCGGCCCGGTGGGGCCTGTGCAGGCGAAGTGTTGGCATCTCTCCAGTTCCTGTGCTCTTCCCTACCCGCAACCCGTGGTGGCGTTCATGGAAGACCCCTTAGCCAGCACGGGTCCGCGTCTGGCGGCTTCCATGAACGGGATGGCTGCTTTGCCCTCTCCCTGCACCCAGTTGCACCCCTGCTTCCCCCCGAGGCTCCAGCAGGGCTGGCCTCACCTCAGGGTCACCAGGTCTCACTGGGTGGTGTTTCCTGAGCTCCCCCATTCGTGGACATCGAGAGGCACCTGGGCCAAAACGTAAAAGCAGGGGAGTGGCATGATCCTGGGGGGAGGTGACCCCATTAGCCAGGACTGCGGAGTGGTCCCCCCCCGGGGAGGGCCTTGTCATGAGGCCCCTCCGGCCCGCAGGCCCCCAGCTGCACGCAGATGAGGAAGGAGACACCCCCAGCCCCAAGGTGCAGACACGACCCCTTCCTCACAGCCACCCTCGGAGGGAGGCGCTAACCCCAATTCATAGAGGAGGAGGCTGAGGCTCTGGTAGGTGTGGGGATGGGGCCCAGGGCCGTGGGGCTGGGAGTCTGGTCTGCGGGGTCAGGGCGGAGGCGGGGGCCCCCACGGAGGCCTGGAATACCAGGCGGGAGGGTGCGGATGGGGGCTGGGGTGAGGTGGCACTGCCCTGGGTCATCTGCCGGGAGAGCCATCGCCAGCCCCTGCCCCCCCGCCAGACCCTCATCAGCAGAGCCAGCATGGTGAAGCTGGCCTGTCCTGGGGAGACGGGAGTCAGTGCCTCGGGACTGGCCAGCACCTCTCAGCCCAGCCCCCAGGAGCACAAAGCCGGGCCTGGCTCGGTCCAGCCCCAAGCTGGGCTAGTCTCAGGGACACCTCTGGTCCGTCCACCCCAGGGGAGAAGCAGGGGCCCGGGCCAGGTGGGGAGGGCCCTGGCCTGACGAGAGCCTCTCCGTGGTCGTCGTCCCAACTGGCTGTGTGTCTCAGCATGGCCACCCTACTGGCGGCTGTGGTCAGGGGTGTGGGGTCCCCAGGAGCCTGCAAGAGCTGTCTGACTCTCCCGCCTGCGTCACCCTCCACTGCCCACTCTGTGCGCCCCTCCTCCCTGCTGCCCACCCAGAAATGCAGGCTGGGCACTGGGGCTGGGAGGCACCTCCCCACGCAGCCTCCAGCATGGGCCCCCCGCCCGGCGGCCAGCCACTTCCATCAAAAGGCCTTGGCCGTGGGTCTGGGTAAAAGAGCCGAAACAGCCGTGGCCATAGGGTAGAGCGACTCGCTCTCCTGTCCTGGACGTGGACACAGAGGCTGGCACCAGGAGACTGCCAGAGGGTCTGTGCATGCCCGTTGGCCCCCCCAGTCCCAGCCTGTGCCCCTCACCTGCCTCCAGGAAGCATGCTGTGCTCAACCTGCCTCTGTGGGGATCCCGAATCCAGCGCCAGATTCGGCTCTGAACTCCCCAGTTCAGAGAAATGCGACGCAGCCCCCGGCTGGGCTGGCCAACCGGCAGCTTCCCCCACTTCGCAGAGGGTTCTGTTCCTTTCTCAGTCGCTCCGGCCAGTACACTCCCGATGGGAGGGGACGGTGCAGAGAAAAGGAAATGGGAGGATCCAGGGGCACAGGCCACCCAGGGCCCCCACCTCTCTGGAGGGCTGTCCCCTGATGCCCCGTCCTGGGTCAGGAGGTGCCTTTTCACATCATCTGATGGGTAAACTGAGGCCACAAGGCATTCATTTCCCTGCCAGTGAACTCGGGGCCACTGCCGGGATGGTGCCCAAGCCTGTCCCTGTATTTGGCCAGGGAGACATCTGTGAGATGACCAGTGTTTCTCCAGAACCTGGTCTCGCCCCTGCGGGTCCATCCTCACGGCCGCTCCAGGAGCTGGACACCGGGCTGTTCCTGTGACGGGCAGCAGCCCAGGCCCTGCATGTGCCATAGGGGCCCCTCCTATGGGCTGACGGCTGCAGGGGCAGGTTTTGAGAAACAGAAGACATGAGTCCAAAGCAGAGTGCTGAGCGAGGGGAGCGGAGGTGGCCTGCCCAGGCCAGGGATGCAGGGCACTGGGGGCGGGGAGCCTGAGGTCTGGGTGAGGGGTGTGTGCTCGTATATAGGTGTGCACAGGTGCGCAGGGGTTTATGCAGGTGGTAGGTGTGTGCAGGTGCGCTTGACCCCTCTGCTCAGGGCCACCACATCGTGAGATTCAGGCTGCTCAGGCGGAGCACCCTGCCCAGGTTCTGGGTCGGAGCCAGTGCCCACTGCACCTCATGGCTGACCCCTGCCTGTGCAGGCCAGGGGCCGGGGGCAGGTGTCTGTCAGGGTCGACCGGCCCTGGATGGGGTCGCCAGGACGAAGGGCTCAGGAAGGATGGCCGGAGCTCCCGGCTCCTCCAGGCTGGCAGAGCAGAGGCGAGCGGAGGCTGAGTGGTGACCGCCTGCTGGGGCCATGTCTCCTTTGCAGATGAGATGAACGACCACCAGAACACCCTCTCCTACGTCCTCATCAACCCCCCGCCCGACACGAGGCTGGAGCCCAACGACATTGTGTAAGTACCTCATCCCCGAGCAGTGCGGACACCTGCCCCGTCCACCGCTCCTTGTGTAAAGACACTGTGCACCCACACTGGGCGTCCTGGCCACGCCTACTCGCCGGCCTCCTTGGGCGGAGGGTGGCATCCAGGGTCCTCCCGCCCTCCCTGCAGGTATCTCATCCGCTCGGACCCCCTGGCCCACATGGCCAGCAGCTCCCAGAGCCAGAAGAGCAGCTACAGCAACAAGCTGGCCTCCTGCAACCCTGAGACTCGCGATGAGACACAGCTCTGAGCCAGCCCTGCACAAGCCCCCCCCAGAGCCGACCTTGTGCCCGCCCCGTCGGCACGCAGCGTGATGCATGGAGCCTGCAGGGACCTGTCATGCCAGCATGGTCCTCCCTGTGATGCTGGCCTGGCCCACCGGGGCAGAGCTGCTCCTGAAACCGACCAAGAGAGGAGACCGCCCTCGGGCACCGCAGGAAGCTGGCGGGGAAGCCTTTTTTAACCTGTTTTTTTACAAATCTGTACAATCCCTGTCTCTTTACACACATGTACCGCAACTCGTGACCAGGTCTGGCTGAGATGGAGGGAAGGCTGCATGGGGAGGGGACGAGCCCTGGGCCCCCAACACGCACGTGCACACAGACGCACTCAGAGCTCACGTGGGGGGAGCAGGGACGTGCTGCATCCGGCTACACTTGGAGCCCACGTCTTCACGGCTGTGTACTACCCATGTCTAACTCGGATCGGGGCCTGCCCTCGGCTCTCGTGGGTCCCAGCTGGTCTTGGACACACAGTTGTGAGGGTCTGGACCACAGCTGGGCCATGAGGGGCTCCTATGTGGGTGAGCACTTCAGAACCATGCGGCGGCAAGCCCCTTCCAGAAGGAAAGGAAAGGCAGAAGCCACTCGCTGAGGCTGGGGGCTGGGAGTGTGTGTTCACGGCCCTGGCGTGTGAGGAGGGCGTGGGGCTGCCGTGAGACCCCAGAGGGGTCCTGCGACACATTGGGGCTCCCGCAACCAGTGACCTTGTGGGGAAGAATCAGAAACCGCCGTTTCCTCCATTTTTACACTGAGTTCTGCAGCCACGGCATTGGCGGGACGTCGGGCGGGGGGGGGGGGGCGGTGCATTTCCACAGACCTTTGGAAGCCCCTTTGACCTCCGATCTGAAGCACAGCCCAGCACTGACGTGCTGGCCCACGCCTCTGGATCAGAGATTTCCTCCTCAGCGAGGGAGGGATTCTGGGAGGCCGGTTGTTCATGACTGCCGCCCTGGATCCTCTGTGATTGTTGGGTTTTGCACAGTCACTGCTGGAACCTTCTATTAAATGGATGCATCCTACAGACACGAGGATCCATAAGGCATCCCTTCTGTGGCTTCACACTCTGGGCCTGGGTCCACCCCTCCCATTCAGCCCATTTCAAGGGTTAGAAACACCTGCTGTGGCCCCCAGTCCCCTCCAACCCCCTGGGCAAGCCCCGGGCCCCCGAGAAAATGCCACTGGCCTGGGCCCGCCTGACCGGCGTGGCCCTCCCAGAATCTGCGAAGCGAGTCCTGGGTGGCTGTTGGATAACTGGGTTCTGGCAGCTGGGAAGCGTGGCTGTCATGGGATGGGATGGGAGGTGGTCCAGGAGGGCTCCCTGGGGAGCTACCCCAGCTCTGGACCCCAGGCCCTGCCCAGAGTCACGCGCACGTGTGTGTGCGCACGACTCCTCGCCACCACCAGCTGTTGGCCCTGCATTAGCGGCAGGGCTGCCCTAGGGGGATGTGTGCACCCCGCCAGCACACTGTCTCTTTTTTTTTTTTTTTAATAATTTTATTTATTTTTTTCCCCCAAAGCCCCAGTAGATAGTTGTACGTCATAGCTGCACATCCTTCTAGTTGCTGTATGTGGGACGCGGCCTCAGCATGGCCAGAGAAGCAGTGCGTCGGTGCGCGCCCGGGATCCGAACCCTGGCTGCCAGCAGCGGAGCGCGCGCACTTAACCGCCAAGCCACGGGGCCGGCCCCACACTGTCTCTTGAGTTCGTTTTAGGTGGGGGCTCTTGAGTACCCTGAGGCTGGAAGGGGAAGGATGGATACAGCTGCCAGGGTGGGGTGGCGTGGGACGACGGCAGCTGGTAGAGGGCCCCCTGAGGGAGGGGTATGACCCAGGCGCCCCCCTCTCCTTCCAGTGCCCTGGCCACACTTCCAGCTCATCCCCCACGCCTGGCCAGCTGGGACCCTCCCACCCAGAAAAAGTGTTTACAAGCCCTCGTGGGGTGCTGGAAATGGGCTGGTCAGGAAGGGGCTGCTGATCGAAATGGGGAAACCCCGGGGCCCTTGACCGAGTGACAGGCCGTCAACGTGGGTCAGGGTGGCCTCTGGAGACCAGGGGCCGTCCCAGCAGGATGTCAGGGGCTCCCAGTGTCCTGCCAGCGAGGCTCCCCTCCCCTGCCATCACCCTGCAACAGAGGCCCCCACTACCTCCTCTGGCACCCACACCCCAGCTCCCCGAGGGAAGGGGCTGCCTGCAGGATTGGAGGGGACCCCACAAGCCGCTGGGCCGGGGCTCCATCCAGGTGGGGCTGCAGCCCCTCGAACCCTGAGCTGGGAAGATGGCGTCCAAGAGGCGTCCTGGGATGTCGCCTGACTTGAGTTTGCAGTTGACAGGGTGGAGTGGTGAGTGGGTTTGGCCTCCAGAAGGGGCTGGAAGAGAGGGGTCCGAGCAAAGCCTGAAGCACTGGGTGCCAGGGGTCGTCACCGCCTTGAATGGAGGCCTGGAGAAGTTCTCCATGATTTATGGTAGAAGTTCTCAAACATACAAAATTTCAAACATACAAAACTTATTTTCTTTATTCCTAATCTAACAGAAAACTTTGCTCAAAATACCAACAACGCATTGGGCGAGTGTAGTTTCTGCATAAGTGATGTGAATGACAGTGATGCTCTCAGGGCGGCAGGGGTTGGGAATACTCGGGGACAGGCGCCCGCCCTGCCCAGGGGGCGGTAGGAGTATTTACACACCGAGAACTCCAGGGCAACCACCCGCAAGTCTCACAAGGCAGCACAGTCGCCAGGCTGGGAGAGGAACAGTATGAGTGTGCGAGTGTGAATATGTGAGTGTGCACGCACGTGCGACTGTCGCGAGCATGTTTGTGTCAAGCGTGGGGGGCAGCACTCAAGGACCATGGAGGGAGGCAGTGGGGGGAGCCACGTCCTCCTCTGAGGGTCTCATCACTGTGCTCTAAGTCCCCCACCCAGGAAGGTGCCCCATGGGGAGTGAGGACCAGTGGCCTGGGAACCAGCCTGGGGTCCGTTACCCCAGGGCCAGTCCCCTCCTGGGGACGTGGGCAGAATGTGCAGTGTCACACCTCCACGGGCAGTGCCAGACCCTCCGGCCATCCCCAGGCGGGGTCAGGGCTCTGAGGCTGCAGCCCCACCCCCTGGTCCCACAGTCCGGCCTGCTGTGGCGCCCCCTACCACCTCCCCCAGGCTATGGGGCTCGAGCGGGAGTCTCACCCCTTAGATGAAAGGGAGGCCAGGGGAATGACGACACACGTTTCTGACGGAGAAGGCATCTCTACCCGAGACTATTCCACACCAGCCCCCCAAGATTCTAGGTGACTGGAGCCCAAGTTAACAACTTGTGTTCGCAGCAGCCCCCATTCCGGCCCTAGTCATCGCCAGGGAGACCACCCAGCCCCGCAGATCCCTTCTCTGGTGGGGACCCCCGCTACCTCGGAGGGGGTCCTCATCGGGAGGGGGATCCTAGGAGATCTTCAGCACACCTGGCCCCCAGGGGTCCTTGCAGCCACAGGTGCCATGCCTCCAGGGTCTCCCTGGTATTGTGCCAGGGAGGACAGCTCACCCATGCTGCCTTCCTGCTGCCTGGTCCTCGTCCCAGGGACCCAGGCCACAGCCCCCCGAGACGTCGGGGGCTCCAAACTTGCTCTGGGCATCTGCCACAGCCCTCTTCCACCCCATCTCAGGACCCTGGCCCTTCAGGCCCACAGCTCCCAGAGTCTGGAACAGAGGGGGCTGTGGGGGGCTTGCTGCCCACCTTAGGCTCTGAGGTGGCTGATTCCCTGCTGTACACGTGGGCTCGGGGGTGCCTCCCTGAGAGTTGGTACCCCAGCAAAAGGGGCTGAGGTGGACCGGGGAGCCACAGCCCACATCAAGTGAAGCACATGGCCCCTGCTCATCCCCCAGGGACCTCAGAGCCCCTTTCCAAGCCCAGAAGACAGGGCGACAACAGGCACCAAATTCAGGGCTGGCTTGTCCTCGTCCCCAAATCCAAACCCAGAATCAACTGATCAAACTGCACAGTCTATGGGGAGTCTTGCTTGGGGCTGTGTTCCATCCACAGACCCAATGGGGAGGAACCAGTATCTCAGTGATTTAGGATATCCCTGTCTATTCACACCTTCGGGGACCCGTTCTGAGTGACTGTGAGCGTCCTGCACGTCCGTTCCCGGGACCTCACAGTCCCCTTGGCTCTTCCGTGACCTCTACCCAGTGCATTTCCTGATACAATTGGTCCTGAGTGGGCCCAGAAACCCTTCTCTGCTTGTCAGTCTGTCACAGCCACCGCTCTGCAGTCTGATACTTATCACCTGTTCCTGTTGTTCTAGGAGGCTTTCATATTTCTGCAAATAATGACCATTTGGGCTTTTCTTCCCCTCCCGGACATCCAGTAAAACCTGGCCAGTCGCTGTGACTGCAGGAAGCCTGGGCTCCGTCCTGACTCAACTGGGGATCCTTCTAGCATTTCACTGTGAAATGTGGAGTTTGCTGGAGATCTCTGGCAGGTGCTATCAAGTTGAGTTCTAATTGCAAAGTTTTTTATCATGAACACATATTGAATGTTATTAACTTTTTTTTAGTTTGCAAATTTTTTGTGTGTGTGAGGAAGATTTGCCCTGGGCTAACATCCGGGCCCATCTTCCTCTGCCCTATATGGGACACCGCAACAGCATGGCCTGACAAGCGGTGTGTCGGTGTGTGCCCGGGATCCAAACCTGTGAACCCCGGGTCACCGAAGTGGAGGGCGCGAACTTAACCACTACGCCACCAGGCCGGCCCCTGCAAAATTTTTTTTATCATGAATGCATACAGATTGTTACTTTTCTTTTACATACGGTTTTTCTCTTTTACACGATTACTGTGAATTGCACCGAGACATTTTCTCAGGCTGCATCTTTTAATCCTGGTGGAATGCTGTTGACCACGATGTTTTAGTCTTCCAAAACCCTGCTGGATCCCCTTTAGTATCTATCCCAGCCTGTGTACACATGGCCACCACTGAGACCTGGACGTAGTTTTCTGTTCTTGTGAGTCTGTGGCCAGGTTTTGTGCAGAGTAATTTGACAGTTCACCGAGCACACTGTGCTGTTTTCTATTTCATAAATGTCAGCTTTCTCATTTTGAATTTCTT